GTAATTTCTAGATCCATCTTGAAGTACAACATCGTGAGTGACAGGATTATATCCATATGCTTACAAGGAAGTCCAGTACATACCACTATCATTCAGATATATGCACCAACAACCAGAGCCAAAGAAGAAGAAATAGATGATTTCTACCAACTGTTGTTGTTAGGTGCTGTCAAATTAAGTCCAATTCACAGTGACCCTGTGAACAACAGATTTGATCCCTCTCCTATTCTGTGCCATCCTCACTATCTCTGATATAATTGATCCCATTGTTGCAGTCATTGTCTCAATCTCAATGGGGTCTTCCTCTCTTTAGCTTACCTTCAACCCTTCCAAGAGTGATATCCTTTTCCAAGGAACAGCCTCTGCTAGAAACATGTCCAAAGTTTGCGAGATTAAGCTTTGTCATCTTTGCCTGCAAGGAGCACTCATGCTGGACCTTTTCCAAGACATACCTGATCATTCTATTGGCAGTCGTGGGATATTCAGTACTCTTCTTCAATCCTACAACTTAAAGGCATCAATTCTTTTGTCATCCTTATTCACCATCTAGCTCTCAGATACATAGTAAGTAATTGAAAGGAAATATCTGAATCAGGCACACCTTAGTCTTCAGACTGAAATCATTGCTCTTCAGTATTTTGGAGAGATCCCTGACAATGGATTTGCCTGAAGCAATAAGTCTCCTTATCTCCTGACTAGGGGAATGAAGGGTGTTGATTGTGGGTCCAAGCAAGGTGAAATCATTAATAGTTTCAATCATTTCTCCATCTGTCATAATGTTGCCCACTGGTCCAATGGTAAAAACCTTTATCTTCTTGATAAGACACAATCTATTTTCAAGGCTGTAGTAGTCTTTGATATTCTGCAACAAGTGCTTCAGGTCCACTTTGCTTTTAGCAAGCAAGGTTGGGTCATGTGCATGACTGTTTATGAAGGTTGTTGATGAGTCTTCCTCTGATCCTAATGTCACATTCTTCTTTATAGAATCTGACTTCACAAATTATTTGCTCAGCATACAAATTGAACAGGTGTGGAGAAAAGATACAATCCTGATGCACAACCTTCCCAATTTTAAGCTGTACAACGTTTCTTTGTTCTGTTTGGATAACAGCTTCTTGGTCTAGGTATAGATTTCATAGAAGCACAGTTAAGTGTATTTGATTCCCAATCCTCTAAATGTTAACCATAGTTTGTTGTAATCCACACAGTCAAATGCCTTTGCAAAGTCAATAAAACACAGACATTCTTCTGATAGTCTCTGCTTTCAGCCAGAATCGATCTACCATCAGCAATGCTATACCTCGCATCACAGCTTCTTCTAAAACCAGCTTGAACGTCTGGCAGTTCTCTGTGGAGGGATTTTTTTGTTTGCTTGGTTTTTGTTTTTCTTTTAGATTTTATTGTAAGTTTATAAAGAACTTGGATTTCCATTTATTCATTGTAGCACATTTTCCTCTCTGCCTCCACACCCCCCAGTTCATTTTTTACTTTGGAAAAAAAGTTCTTTCATTACTATAGAGCCCCCCCCCCCTTTACTATGCAGCTCTTATTCTGGACTCTTGTCATTCCAATAACACCTAATCATATATTTCTTTTACACAGTTCTCTCCCTCATCTGTTTCATTACATTCTGTACATTATTTATCCCTTCTTTTCTTAGTTTCCCTCCAACCCCCATGTCAGTCCTGTTTTATAACAGTGGCATTATGCAGTATTTGTCTTTCTGTTACTGGAATATTTCATCCAGCATAATGTGCTCCATGGTCACCCATTTTGTATAATATTTCATGAGTTCTTTGTTTTTCAGTGCTGCATAGTATTTCATTGTGTGAATATATCAGAGCTTCTCTATCCATTCATTTGTTGAAGAACACTTGATTTGTTTCCAACTCTTTGCTATTGTGAACAAGGCAAAAATAAACATGGCTGTGCATATATCTGTTTGGGTAGAAGTTCTGGGGTTTTTAGGGTACATTCCCAATAGTGGAATTGCTGGGTCAAATGGTATTTCTATTTCCAACTTTTTGAGAAAATGTCATACTGCCTTCTATAGTGGTTGCACCATTTCACACTCTCACTAACAGTGAATAAGGGTTCCAGTTTCTCCACAACCTCATCAGCATTTGTTGTTTGCTACTCTGTTGAATTTTGCTATTCTTACTGGGGTAAGATGATATCTCATAGTGGTTTTGATTTACACCTCTCTTAGAACTAGGGATTTTGAACATTTCTTCATGTGTTTGTTGACCATCTGAATGTCTTCTTTGGTGAAGTGTCTGTTCATATCCTGTGTCTTTTTGCAACTGAATTGTTTACCTTTATCTTATTGTGGCACTCAAGTATTCTATATAAGTCCCTTATCAGACATGTCATTACCAAATATTTTTTCCCAGTCTGTGGTTTCCCTTTTTATCCTCTCCTGGTTGCAGATGTTACAGTCATTTATTATAATCTTCAGAAGTATTTGCTTGCATGTGGCATTACTGATACTGTTTTATAATTTCCACATTCCGTTAGATCACCTTTTTGTCACAATGTGAACAAACACAGATTTCTTCCAGTCAGTTGGTCTATCAGCTGTCCTCCAAATTATCTGGCATAGACTGGTGAGAATGACCAAGGCTGCATCTGTTAGTTGAAAAAAATGTCAACCTGTATCTCATCCAATCTTGGAGCCTTATTTTTTGCCAGTGTCTTCAGTACAGCTTGAGCTCTGTTCTTCCTCTGTTACCATTGGCTCTTGCACATATGATGCTTCTTGAAATTCTCCAATATTAATAAATTCTTTTTGGTACAATGACATGGTTTAAATCAGGAAAGGTAAGGGTCAAGGCTGTATCTTTTCACCAAGCTTACCCAATCTGTATGATGATCGAAACTGGACTATATGAAGAAGAATATGGAATTAGGATTCAAGTTAGACTCATTGAAACTTGCAATTGTTGATGACACAGGATTGTTTGCTAAAGTAAAAAAAAGATTTGAATCATCCATTGATGAAAATCAAAGACTGCAGCCTTCAGTCTTTATTAGTTTTCAAAATAAGGAAAACAAAGATCTTCGTAACTGGACCAATAAGCAACCTCATGATGAAAGATGGACGTTTTCAAAGATTTCATTTTCATTTGATCTACAATCAATGCTTAGAGAAGCAGCAGTCAAGAAATCAAACGATGTGTTTCATGAGACAAAGCTGCTTCAACAAACTTCTTTAATATCCTAAAAGTAAAGGAGCTTTGATGTTAAGGTGCACCTGGCTCAAGCAATGGTGTTTTCAGTTATTTTTTTATGTGTGCGAAAACCGGATAACGAGTAAAGAAGACAGAACTGATGTCTTTGAGTTGGGTGTTGGTGAAAAAGAATGAAAATGCCATGAGCTTCCAGAAAAACTAGCAATTTGTTTCTGAAGGAGTACAGCCAGTTGTTAGAAGTGAGGATAGAAACTTTGTCTTATGTACTATAGACATTTTATCAGGAGAGACTAGTCCCTGGGAAAGGACATCATTTTTTTTAAAATTAGAGGGAAGATATTCAATAAGATAAAAGGAGAGAGCCAGCCAAAAAAACATCTATTTTCAACAAGATAGACTGAGAGTGAGTGCAACAATGGGCTAAACACAATAAAATTGTGAGGATGGCTCAGGATCAGACAGTGTTTTCTTCTGTTATACATAGTGTCTCTGAGTTGAAGTAGACTTGACAATACCTAATAACAAACAAAAAATTGCATGACAATATTTTTTATTTCTAACTTTAATGGAAATAGTTTGACTTCTTTTATTAATCATTAAGCATGATGCTGGCTGTGAACTTGTTTTCTCTCTCACACACATATAATAAATAGATATGTGTGTATGAGGAGCTATGGTGACTTAGTGGACAGGCAGTTTTGCGGCCAAACTAAAGGCATGCAGTTTGAATCTACTAGCTTTTCCAGAGGAGAAAGATAGGGAATCTCTTCTTGTGCAGTTTACGGCCTCTGAAAACCTGCTGTAAGGTCAGGTATGAGTTGGTAATGACTTGAAGGTAGTGAACGATTAAGTGATATTTGTGTGACTTTTTGTAATTTTAAAAATGCTTTGATTCGACTTACTACTAACAACTTAACTGCTTTTGAGTCAGAACTGACTCATAGCTGACCCTCCAGTGAGTTTTTCAAAAGTTGTAAGTCTCATGGGAGGAAATTGTCCATTTTTCTGCTGTGGAGTTGCTGGTAGATTCTGACTGCCTTTGAGTTAGCAACACAACAAAGGCACAGTCTTTGAGTGAGCAGCACAGCTCGCTCCACGAGGCCCTCAGAGCTTCTTAATGGTTAAAACTAGATGTTGAATGTTAATTAAATGTATTTTGGATTTCCATCAAGAAGGTCAAATATTATACCTTTTATACATAAGTATTTAATCATCTTTGTGTTCTTTACGATTACTTTTTCTCATAATGCTGGATTCCATTTGACATTTTATTTATCATATTTTAGTAGTATCATACTCACAATATATATTAGTTTGGGTTTTCTTTACATATTTTATCTCTGCCAGATTTTGATTTGCTTTTGGCTTTATAAAAAGAATTTGGAGACTTTTCTTTTTTCCTCCCTCTGTACTCCAGTATTATGACAATAGTGGAGAAATTATAATTCTGTTGACATTCTAGTAACATGACTGATGATACTATGCGGACTATATTCTTTTGTGGAGGGGTAGAGTGAGGATCATGAGTAAAAATTTTCTCAATTTATTCCATGACTACTGGTCATTTTAGATTTTTTATTTATTTTGAGTCAATTTTGGGAATTTGATTTTTTAATTTGCTTTAGCAAGTGTGTTTTTTTTAAATGAAACGTTTGTGCTTTTATTAAACCTCAAATTTATGAAAAGCATTTTTCAAAGTGTTAAAACTCTTTTAAAAAAACTAATTTTTCTTTGCAGCTCAAGGGGCCAGCAGTACCCTGGGGAACCCAGCTCTGGATACCAACTTGCTGGAGGAGTTAATTGGCCATGACTTTGATTTGGGGGCCTTGTAAGTAATAAGAAAACTGTCTTCCACTTGACACTTTTAAAAAAGTTTTTTAATGCCAAATGAGTTTGAAAGTATCCCTTTTGCTCTCTTTTCCAGAAAAGCTTGGGTAGAATTTTATTATTTCTTCCACAAGTCTGGCAGATTTCACAGTGATGTCACCTGGACATAGAGTTTTCTTCACGGGGAGATTTTTGGTTCGTTTGTTTTTCAAAGAAAACCTCAGAATTTGTTTCTTTAATAGGTACATGGCTATTCATGCTGCCCATTGGTAATTGGTTTTGGGAATCTTTCAATGAATTTTTCCTGCGTTTTAATTTCATCAGAGTTTTTAATTCATAAGTAAATGTTGTCCATAATATTTTATTATTTAATTTTTAATGTGTGTCGTTGGATCTATAGTGATGATCCTAGTGCCATTCTTGATCCTGGTAATTTGTGATTTCTCTCTCTTATTGATCAATTTGCAGGAGATTTATCAGCTTTTGTTTTCCTTCAAATAGTTTTTGACTGAATTTGTATCCCTTGTCATTTATTTTCCTGTTTTTGTCGATTTCTGTTCTTATTACTTAGCTGTAATAGAACACTACCAGATTTTTTTTTAAATAATTTTTTTTGCAGGAAAATATTTTTATTTAGTTATGAAAGTTTTGACAAGCTGATAGAACTGTGTAATAATGAAGAAGTATGCTAGAGTTCCGTCACCAGACTACCAAATCCTCCTCTGCACTTTAGCTCCCAGTGACCACTGAAAATTCTTCATTCCTGTAGTTTTGTCCTTTTTTAAAAAGTTGTGTAAGTGAAATCATGTTATATATATTTTTTAGTCTATCTTCTTGTATTTAACATAATATTTGTCACTACTATTTCTTTTTTATGTCATTGAATGAATATAACATTGTTTGTTTACCTAGCCAGCTGAAGAATATTGGCTTATTTCCACTACATGGTAATAAAAAAAAGCTTCTATAAATATTCATGTACAGGTTTTTTCCAAAGTATTAAAGTCGACTTTTAAATTGGTGTTCTGAACATTTTGTCAACTCAATACAGAAGGCAAGCAACTATTTTCCTGCTAGGCTTAGCTTCTTATTCTAAGCATAGCTTTTTCTTTTATTCTCACTCAAGAAATGGACCAATTTTGCCCAAAATGTTAAATTTATGGGCATAGTGCTATTTATAGTATTCCTTATTATCCTTTTGATGACTGAAGGTTAATTTGTGTCTCACTATTTTTGTCCTGAACCATTTTGCTAGACATTTATAAGTTCTATAGCTCATTTCAGATAAGCAGGTTTTTGTTGATTTCTTACTTGGTTTTGTTTTCAGTTTCACTGACTGTGTTCTTTACCTGTTCTTTCTTACTATTTGCTTTGGATATAGTTTGCACTTCCCCTCCCGCCCCTGCCCCCTGCCTCCCAATCTCTTAATGTGAAAGATTAGTTCTTGATTTGAAACAAATTCTTTTTTTCCTAATGTGAACATTAAGAATGACCTATTTCCCTCTGAAGGATAGCTAGTAAAATGTGGATAAAAGCCCAAAGGCGGATGATAGGGAGGGGGACAGGAAGTCTGAGGGTGAAGAGGGGAGGAAATTCATGGGGGTACAGAGTTTGGGAAAACATAAAAACTGGAGAGGCAGCTAGCTATAACCAAACCTGGTGGAAGGCCTATTCCTACCTCTGCTGCTTCTGGGAGAGGCCCATCTTGCTCTTAGAACTGTTTCTCTTCTAATATGCTTATCTTTATAATCCACAAAACAAAACACCCACAAAAAACCAAAACAACCATCCAACAACAAAAACCCAAACAAACAAAAACTATAATCTGTTTCCCTCTGTACAGTTTTAACCACCTCTTAAATTTTGAAATAATTTTCTATCATTTAAAAAAGATTAAAATGTCTTTAAAAAAATTTATATGAAAACATTTCTTTTTTCATTGGCTAAAATTTCTCTTAAAACGTCTTTCATTTGTGGGTTGTTTAAAATTGTGTTGTTAAAAAAAAAATTGTGTTGTTTAATTTCCAAATGTCTAATGCTTTCCAAATGATTCTGTTAGTGATTTCTAGCTTAATTGTTATTGTTAGAAGGCATCATACTTTGCATTATTTCAGTTCTTGTAAATCTAATAAAGTTTCCTTTTATGACTCAGAGGGAGCTTTAGTGGGCTAGTCTGTGCACAATTGTGCTGCAATCCCAAAGGTTCTACCTGTCTGGTTGTTCGCCCATTTGTTTCCTTCCATGTAACTTACAGCCGAGGAAACCCTGCAGAGGGTAAGTTATGAGTCAGTTCTGACTCTACGGCAATGAGTCTGAGCTTTTCTGTTCCACACTACAGTCTTAACGAATGATCCACGAGCATTTGAAAAGAACATGCTTTCTGCTGTTTTCTGGTGGAGCCATACACAATTGAGCCATTGATTCGATCTTACATGCCCTTTCTGATTTGTTTTGTTTCTTTCACTGATTATTGCAAAAATAGTGTTGAAGTGTCCAAGGATGATTGTGGATCTGTCTTGTTCACTTTCAGTTCTATTATGTTTTGCTTCAAATGTTGTAACTCTGTTGTTAGATGCAAATATTTTAGGACTCTTTGGTCTTTTTTGTGGTTATATCCATTGATCAATATGTAATCTCTTTAATCCCCTTTTCCCTGTTCTGAAGTCTACTTTATTTGGTATTAATATAGATTCTCCAGCTCTCTTTTGATGAACATTTGTGGGATATGTATCTTGTCATCCTTCCATTTTTACTTATCTGTATCAGTAGGAGGGAGCTTCGGTGGTCCAGTGTGAAGGCAGATACACTGCCAACCCGAAAGCATGCAGCTCTAATCCACCAGCAGCTCTGTGGGAGAAAGATGGACAATCCCTCCCATGTGGTTTACAACCTCTGAAAACCACCTGGGGGTCAGATATGAGAAGGATCTGACTCAAAGGCAATGAGTGAGTTCTACCTTTGAGTTTAAAGTGAGTTTCTCTTTGACAGAATATTGAATTCAACCGATTACTGTTGAGTTGGAACTGATTCACAGCAGACTTTCAGATAGGTTTTTTTTTACAAACTATAAACACTTCAGAAGGAGCTTTTTTGTCTTTCTCTTGTGGAACTACCAGAGAGGTGTCACCTTTGGGTTAACAGTGTAGCTCCTCCCTATGGCCTACATCACCAGAGTTCCTTGTATATTGGAAATATTTCTCTCTCTCTCTCTCTGCCTAGTGGATAAGGAGTTACACTGCCAAGCAAAGGGCAGGTGGTTCAGATCCACTAGCTGCTCTATAAGAGAAAGATGGCAAGTGATTTACACTCTCTGAAAACCCTCTAGAGGGTCAGCTATAAGTTGGTTCCAAGTTGAGAGCTATGAGTTGAGTTGAACATACATTGTAAAAATTCTAACAATGTCATGGAACAAGTTATACAAGAATTGTCTAATGAGAACCTAATTTGCTATGTAAACTTTCACTCAGAATACAATAAAATGTTTATTAAAGCAACAGATAAATTTAAATACAATATTTTAAATATTCAAAGATGCACAACCATGTTCATCGCAGCTTTGTTCACAATAGCAAGGAGTTGGAAACAGCCTAAGTGCCCATCAACAAATGAATGGATATAGAAGCTGTGGTATACAACACTGCAAAAACAAGAAACTCATACAATATTATTAAAAATGGGTGACCCTGGAAGACATTATGCTGAGTGAAGTATCTCAGTCACAAAAGGACAGATACTGCATGGTGCCACTGTTGTAAAACAGGACTGACATCGGGTTTGGGGGAAGACTGAGAAAGATGGAATAAATAATGTATACTGCATTGAAACAGATGAGGGAGAAAACTGTTTAAAAGGGATATGTGGTTAGGTATAATTGTCATGACAGGTGTCCAGAACAAAGACTGCATAGTAGAGTGGACCTGGGGGGGGAGAGATTGTAAAACAATGGGGTGACTTTTCTTTCACTTTTCAGAGAGAAGAGTGTATGGGGGAGGGGAGGAGGGGTGGGCAGGGAGAAAAGTGCAACAATGAATGCATGGAAATCCAAAGTCTCTCTAAATTTTCATTAAAATCAATAAAAAATGATAAAAAATGAAAGAGACTAAGAGAAGGTAGGAAAAAAGAAAGAAGAAAGATAAAACAAAAACTTTAAAGATAATAATAACATGGTAGACTTAAAAGCAACATATTAATAATTTTTATAAATGTATATTATCTAAACAGAAACAGAGATTGTTGGATTAAATAGATATATGATTGTGATCATTGCCATCAAGTTGGAACTGACTCATAGATGATCCTCCATTGGTTTTCTGAGGGTGTATATCAAATAGGAAGAGATTGCCTCTTTTCCATTCTTGCAGCTGCTAATAGATTTGACCTACCAGAGAGGAGTGGTCTTTAGATTAACAGTGACTATGAACTGTATCACAATGTATATAGTATTCTCATAGTTCTGTTTCCATTGATTTACCCTTCTTGTCCACTTTGTCTTCTCACTTTTGCTTTTGAGTAAATTTGACCATTTGATTTCATATAGTTTATTGTTTAAAGAAGCACATTACCCATGGGTGATATTATTTGTTTTATAAGCCAGCCTATTGTTTGGCAGAAAGGTGACCTTCAGGAGCTGCTTCAATCATTAGGTATTTTAGCCATGTAGGACAATAGTCTGTAGTGTTCTTCTAGGCTTTATTGGTTCAATAAGTCTGACCTTTTATAAGAATTTTAATTTTGTTCTTTTTCTCCCATTCTATCTGGTACTTTCTATCATGTCCCTGGTGAGAATGGTAGGTAGTAGTAACCAGGTATCATATTGTTCTTCTGGTCTCAGTCTAGAAGAGACAATGGTTCATGTGGGATATTAATCCTATTGACTAATTTCTTCTTTTATTCTTAGTTACCTTCATCCTCTTTTGTTTCAGCTGAATAGAAACCCAAAGTTGCCTCTTAGTTACTTGCAAACTTTTAAGACACCAGACACTACTCATCAATTTAGCAAGT